CAACACTCGGTGACTAACACTCTACAACCCACAGAAACCCTTGGCAACTGTCAGGAGCCACGTCCTAGCCGTACGACTATATTACACACTGCTTGTTTCTAGGTGTTTCTATTTTTATAACGTATTCATTTAGCTCGAGATCATTCAGTTTATAATGAATAGGTTTCCTATTAAAAAACAACAGCATGTTCTTCAGTGAGACCAGGAGAGAATGATGATAAATCTTTATTGAAGCTGCCGTTGTTCTCCCTGTCAGAATATGACCATTATACTGTAGCCAATGAAAGGACAGGAATGCAGGTGGAGACGCAGCTCTATTCTTGTTTTGGTCCGCTTGGGTATTTTTATTTGAAATGCCCAGTGACGGTGAAAAACAAATGAACGGCTGATGTTTCACTTTGTACCCCGACAGCTTGAAGGCATTGTGAAACATTCCCCAAGAGGGGGCGATAACAGCAACAATAGCCTTAAGGTATTAACCCGTGCTCAAGTAAAGACGAAAAAGAAACTCATTCGTTTTCAACAAGAGAAACTTTCTGATAGCAGAAGTGTTTTAATAATGAAATCTGGAGCAGAAAATTGCCTCTGCTAATCTGCACCGTACGCCTCTTTCTCCTGAAATTAAAGGTGAGCTCTTATTAGAGCGGCATTAGCTGCCCCTCCCTGCTCAACAGGAAGACATTTCACAAAAATAAAACTGCAACTCCTTTCTGTGTGCAACTTTGCACTAAGGGGTGCAGTTTGGGAAGAAGAGAGAAGTTTAGCCTTTGAAAAGTTTCTTATTGTCTCACCTTGAAAGTGTCTGGATTTTTATAAAGGCAGCTTAGGTTTGGGGGCGAGTAGAAAGCGTACGATTGAGGGAATAGAGCAATAAAAGGAGCAGGGTATGTAAAGGTGCAGCATTTTTTATTATTCTGAATCTCAGCTGGTGTTGGTACTGTTTGTGTGTGCGCGTGAATTTTATTAATGAAGACAGGGATTTCGGTTCCTTTAAAGCAGCAGCCTTGGCAGCATTCTTTTAAATTTCATCATTACACTGACTGGAGCAAAAGAGAACGGATCAAAGATGTCATAGCTGTGGTGAGATCAGTGGGGATGACGCGGCGTGTAACTTCATATTGTTAGAGGCTTTGCAAAACAGAAAGAAAAAAAAACCACCCATGACAACAGCTGCAGTCGTATATTTTTGTTCATATAAAATCAGAACGGCAAGATCTTCAAAGTTGATAAAACAGCCAGAGGAGTGACATAACACAGTCGCGGTAATTATTCAGGCAGGATTGTTTTCCCCCCAAACTTTGCTTCGCCATGAAGTGTCCTTAGATACAAAGCTCATATCACAATATGACAGGACCCAGACGCTTTGAGTTAGAACTCAACTTCAGGAAACATTTACAAAGTCTCCGCCTCACACTGGAAAAGCAATCAGAAAGAACAACAGGCTACGGAGCGAAGACAGGCAGGGATCTGTGCGCATCTGTAAACGCTGACAGCTAAAGTGCTGAAAGGAGATGGCAGTGTAGGAGAACAATCACAGTCTGTTAGCCTGGTGGAGAGATTCTCCACCGGGGGGAGCTAAGAGATGGGTAGGGGATAAGGAGCGTTTCATTAAATCAGGTTGACGTGTATGAACAAGATAGGGGGCAGGGGTTAGTGTGTGACATCTCACTGATAACTTTTCAATCAAGTGGTTGGACGACTCACTGCGGTTGACGATGACGAAGTCTTTGAAGCCTTTCACCCATATCCCTTTCTTTGTGCTGGTGGTTTTTTTATCATTAAAAATGTCACTGTTGGAAGTGTTTACAATGTATAAAGTCCTTGGTTCCCTTGAAACTCCAGGTTTTGTTGTTTTGATGTTGTCAAACTTTTGAAACAAGGGAAGAGTAGGGAGTCACAGAGACATTTTTTTTGCTGTAGTGAGAATATATATTCTTACTATACAGTCTGCTTCCTGTCTCAAGATAGACGAGAAAATACCTTGTAGCCGTCAGAGTGTTTTCTTTTTTGAGTGTCTGACAGCAAATGATGTTATACTGAATTTTTATTAGAGCTGGTACTTGGAGTACTTGTTAAAGTTTTATGAGGATTAGACAGGTATAAGGGGGCAGCTGGTAGGAAAATACATTAAAAACCAGTAGCAACACCAACATGTTTTCATTAATGCATTTAATATGTTGAGGAAAGTTTCTCTTTTTCTTACTTTCAATTGGTGGAAAAATATGAATACTGTTCACTTCACCTACTTTGTTTACAACTTTATTTAAGCGCAATGAAATATTTTTGTCAGAAGGGTAAATGTATACAATACTTAATATTTTTTAAATTCAATATGTATTCTGAAAATAAATTTAATATTCAGATAGACTTGTTTATATCCCTGATATTTAATACGTTTTTTTTCTTGCATTCAGAGGAAATTTTTTGCTTAATCTAACATCATAACTAATTTAATTATTTCACAAATTTAGCCCTCTGCAAATGAAAAAATACATGAATGAATATTAATAAATATAAATTTGAAAATATAATAGCAGCAAAATATTTTCTGAATGAAAAGGAGCCCAAATATTTACCAAATATTCATTGTTGTGCTGCGTTTTATTTTATGGGGCTACAAACCGTTGCTCATCTGCTCCTCTGTTCACTTTGGGATGTAAACAAAGCTGTTTCATTTTTTTTTTTTTACGTCATACGTCAGAATGATGGAACAAGACTTTCACATAGACATTTTACATAGACTAAACTGAGGAGCCCCTGTATTTGTCTGTATTTGTCTTGTTGTTGAGCATCTTCTACAAATACTGTAGCTACTAGCTGTGTTCACTACTGCCTACATAATCTATGTGTCAGAATATGTACCTCATACTCTTGTACTCAATTCCTTTCACTAGTGGGCTTTTAAACTGGACTTCATGTTATCACAGCCGTTACCGTCATCACCTGCGACCACATCTTCTCTTTCTAACACCATTCACGCCCTGTTAGGAGCCAGATGTTTAAATCTTCAACCGTCTAACTTCACTAACAAGGCAGCGGGACCTGATCACTCCTTGGCGTCTGTGTGCTTCTTTATTTACTGTAGTCTGTAGTGACTGCACCTCGGTGCCCCACGTAATGGTAAATGTTGTTAGACCACAGAGCAGACAGGTCTTGTCTCTGGTAATGACAGAGACTGTTTCTTTAGAGGCCGAGATCCCAGCACTACGCTACCTGTCTGCTTCACTAATTGGACAGGTTGTCCCACGGCCAGATACACAAACTAAAGAAAATATAACAAAGCCAAAGACTTGCGGGCTTTGAACCACAGACTGTCAACAGTCAACAGTTATCTCACAATGTTTCCTGACAAGGACGACTCCCCTTGATTCTGCCTGACACTTTAGGGCTAGGAAGAGGTTTAGCTTTATTTAATGGCTTTCAACTCTGACGTTGAGAACATTTCAAAACTTAAAGCTTAGCATTCAGTACTGGACAATGCTGTGTGGCTGCAACAGAACTTTTTTTTTTTAATTTCAGCATTGACCATGACACTTCAGCCAGTACAGACATGGTGGAACAGGACTTTGATCAGCTCATATTTTCTGCCCTTGCCCTTTATTCTTCCACTATAAAGATATTGAATAATGTTATGTAGAATAATGTTACTGTTGTCAGAATGTGATAGCTAATAAAAACAATACAAATGTACTACATATGAGACTTCATCAGATACTGAAGCACAAGAAGCAACAAAAATGATTCCAATCAAAAATATCAAAATAACCCTAAGAATGCAGTTTAAAAACAGTGAAAGTGAAAGTGTAGGAATGATGTGAGGCGGACCACAGTACTGCACTCCCTCACAGCACCCACTTTCAGCAATTTGAAAATAGAATAATTACTGTGTGGCCAGTGTACTGTGAAATGACAGCATGACCACAGCAGGATGAAACACTGCCCAAAGGTTAGAACATGATGAGCACACTGCCGTCTGAATGCAGGTTCCTGTATGTGTGCTCCAGATAACACAACCAACGTGTGTCTGCAAATACTTTTACACTGAAAAAAATAAAACACACACACACACACACACCATCGCTCAATGAAATGCTTCAGCAAGCTCGTGCCGAATTGTCCCTTTTTACCTCTTCTGATTATGGACAACAGCCAGCCGGTGACAATGTTATCATTTGATTTGCACAAAATTTGAGAATTGAATTAACGGCTGTTGCTTTCAATAGACCAGGTCCACGGCCCGTTGTCGTGAGGTCAATCTTTTAACCACACAGACAGTAAAAAGGCAGTGTATCTACATTTTCCACATGTTGTTCGTACAAATACAAAGCAGCAACATCGTACGAATGACGCTCATGTATTTATCTTTATATTGTTTATTCCCTTTACAGCAGAGAAAATGGATGTCTCCAGTGTCCTCGGGAAATATATTTTAAAAAAAAGCCGTACGACATCGCTATTATACAGCACAATGTAAATTATGTCAGTGCCACGATGATGATGATCAGTAGTAACGTGGACTGTTGTTGTAACTAAAGCATAGTTTAATAAACAGTAGAGTCTTATCATTATTTCCTTATGACGTCATTATTAACACGTGTTTGTTAGGATCATGTTTCTCAGTACTTCTGAGTACATCCTTCACATATACTTGACTCAAACGCATGGACTTGTATTATATTGTACTGAAGATGTCTATGTTCCGTGACTCACTGTGTCTCCTTAGCATTCTTTGATGACACTGTTTTCTAAAGCTGTTCAATCAGTTAAACTCCGTTCTCTCCAGGCTGGTGCGCTAACGCAGTTCACATCTAAACCTTTTAAAAAGCTTACACTTAACACTGGGAAAAAAAAGAATGCTTTAACAGGCATTTCATGGGTGTTTTCAGAAACTAGACTCAGTGTTTACCTGACGTGAGCCTCAGCTCTTGTAGCTGCCTGGTCGTACTGTTCCGCTGACTCCTTATAGATGTCAAAGTTCTAGAGGGACAAAACAAAAAAATAATGTTTTCACATACTGAGCTTTTTATATCAAATGTTGTATCTGTAAATTGAATAAAATCCTAAACATACTGTGCAGTACAATCAAAAACATTTGTATATTGAAAAGTCACTACTGACGTATTAAGCTACTTAAGTTCAGGTCAAACTCTAATAAGCCAGTTATGATAATCAAAATGTGTTACCCACCGCCTTAAATGTCACATTTGTTAAATTAGCGACCTTTGACTTTTACGGGGTAGCTAACATATCTGAATGCTGATGGACTTCAGCAACTCCATATATTTTTAGCCCATGCAATACACTGTGGCATTTAAGTAGCAATTACCACTACTTGCCTTGAGGCCAAGGTCACAAGCGCCACACTTTTACCGGAGTAATCAGTAGTTCAATATTAACTACACCGTCTCATCGTCACAGCCGGGACAATCTATGTTGTCTTAAAGGACCATGCCGCTTTAAAAGAGTTTAAAGAGTTATAAGATAATGTTTTTTTTTTGTTTGTTTGTTTTGTTTTGTCAACACATAGAAATACATTATATTTCTCTGCAGTATGGACATAATAAAGGAAAAATGGTACACAGAAAAGAAAGACTCAAATAATAACCTGCCAAAAAACTGACAGACTGTAAAAAAACAGAACCAAGGTACTGTACTAGCAAAGACGGAAAATTTCAAAAAGTTCAAGTAGTTCAGGTTATTGGTTCCTTCAATTGTGGACCAGTCCACAGACCCAACTCTGTTGAATTCACAACCTGCATAAATGCAAACTGTTCTATGAAAATACACTTTTATAACTTCAAATGTGCCTGGTTGTTATTTACCACTGGATCCAGTGTCAGTGTTCACTAAAACAAAAGGATCAAAGGAGACGGGTTAACGAGGTGTTCGTTCCTGCAGCTAAACCTCGGCTCGTGTTGATGGGATTTTAGATCCGTGGTGGGGTTTGTTTTGGGGTGTCTCACCTGAAAGACTAAATCCTCAGGAACAGATCTAGTTCAGCTCTCACGACTCCAGAGAGATACCTGCTCTATCATCAGCTCGCATGTGTACCACGAGCTTAATCAGTTTCCTCAATGGGCACAACACCCAAAGTGAACAGAAATAAAGAGGTAATTATAACCCCCAGCTGGAAGAAAGTGAGGTTTGGGAGTTGTTACAAGGGCAAATTCAGGGGATTATTGCAGGTGTGTATGTTACGTGTGTGTTTTCTGCGCGCGCTTGTATGCCCGCAGGTGCGAGAACAAATCTGTGTTTGTGTCTGAATACTCGTCTGAACACACTCCAGGAAATGGGCTGTTGTCAGGACTCTGAGGGAGGGGTTTCTTCACACTCCACACTTGGGAAACGGGGATTAATTTTTTCAAAGGCGGCGCTCAATAATGGAGTGGAGATGGGATTAAAAGTGTTGAATTTTAAACTGAGACTTGTTTATTGAGTCACAGGGTCTGTTGCCACAGGAAGACAGATATACTCAACCTGTACTCCGCACAGGGATTAGTGAGGCCTCTGGAAATAAACAAGAGCGGGGAAGATATAATGAGAGAGAAAATAAAAGGAAAGAGAGAGAGAGGAAGGTGGAGATAGAGGGACGAAGTACAAACACATGTAGAGAACATTTCACTCCTGGGATGCCTTCATCTTCTGCGAGAGGGAAAATACCAAAATTGTGCAGTGCATTGGTCACTCAATCAAAATGACATGCCTGGTGACAGCGAGCACACAAACCTTTAAATGCTTGTGACAAACACATACATTTTTTGGTGACCATTTCTGTTTGTTGTGTATCCACCATTGTCCAGACCAGACGCTGTATTTACCTCCAGGGGATTTAGTTTATGGTTTAAAAAAAAAGGTTTTAATCATTTTTGTTATGGAGAAATAAAGAAATATGCCCACATTGCGTCCATTTAGAATGAAAGCTGACTAAGCGTCAAGGTACAAGGTCGATTCCAAACAACACACCAGAGCAGCCTACGCACAGAAAAGACATGCATTTCACATCTGCTAATTCATACAGTTATCCAATTAGCAGCTTCATAAGGGAAGGCATCCTGGGTAAAAATCATGTGCCAAAAAAAAAACAAAAAACATGGAGATGAATAGAATCATTTCTATACTGGATAATTGCAGGTGCGATATGTAGCTTAAGGTGCAAGTCAGTCAATAATTGCCTCCCACAGATGGTCAAAGACCATCGAGGAAGAAAGGAAAAAAAACGTGTTAGAAGGCAGAGAGAAAACAAGGTCAGTGTGATGAGAAAGTAAGAGTGAGACTGGGTGAGCAGAAAGGAAGACCAGTCACATCGGGGTGGTTCCACACTGTTCAACAACGGGGAAGGATGAAGCAGGGTGAGTGGGTCTGAGAGTGGAGACACCAACTAAATTAGTGTCTCTAGAGGTAAGAGGTGTCGACCGGAGTGGACATGAAGTCCACACAGGTAGTGAGGAGTTCTTTTGGGGGAAAGTAGGGAGTCTAATGAATCGGCAGGATTGTTAGGAGGAGGGAGAGATGAAGGGTCAGATAGAGTGGAGGAAGTGATGCACGATGTTCTTAATAATATCACATTGCTTCTGAGTCTAAAAATTAGGGCTGTCAATCAATAGAAAATGTAATACATTTTTAATCTGAATAATCTCAAGGCAGCTTTTGGTTTAATCATGATTAATCACGATTGTAATTTAACATTAGTTATTAGTCATGTCTAATCAAGGTGAACTGTCATTACTGTCATAGTTTTTTTTTATTCTTTCTTGCTAAAACAGAAAGACGGCTGGCAGACGTATGTGTTTCACACCTGATTATATTTGTGACTAATACAAACGATGGAATTATGAATATTAAAAAAATGATCAAAAATAAGATTGGGGAGATTTTAACAGTGTCTTCAACAACATTGGTCTACTGTCCCTCCATTTGACCATGATGTGTGGAAATTAAAGCTTTGACTGGATGAGATGGTATTTTAAGCTCCCACAGTGTGTGTAAATAATAACATGTGAATCGACAATGTATTAGAGCAACAGTTAGGGGATGGATGGTGGAATAATTGGATATGCACTGCCCAATGCATTTAAATGGCTTACAAAACGTAAAAGAAATATTTTAAAGAATTGCCGGGTTAATTTCGACAGCCCTGGAAACGATGTCTTCCTCAGATGGATGAGCGTTTAAGCAGAAATCTTTCACCTATTTAAAAGGTGAAAGCCACCATTTAACTTCGAAGCCATCATTTATATGTATATATCAAAGTGATATTTTTTCAAAGGTAAGAGAAACTAAAAAAAAATTGACTGAAGGCAAGAAAAGGAAAGGGGGGGGGGGGGGATAAAAAAGGACCAAGATGAATGGAGCGTTTGATGGCAATATTAAAGGAAGAAAAGAAAGGAGATGGCCACTGGTTCAGAAGAGACTGTTTAATGCTCAGTCCATATAGCTTCTTTATCACTTACCCTCAGCCCCACCATCTTCCCCACTGCCTCCCCCTAATGCAGGTCAGTTACGAGTCGGTGATGGGTGGAAAAAGGGATAGAAAACGCAACCTTGTTGGAGAGCGGAGGAAGATAGAGCATCCTTCACTCCTGCCAATCACTCTCTTTAGTCAAGCACTGCAGCTCGTGCTGCCTGCTGCACAGTGTGCAAAGAAGCCCTTCCATTTAGCTTGGCTATGTAAAAGGTTTTCTCAGTGGCCTAAAGGATGCGGGTGGAATGCACCAGATAAGGTTCCCTCTTTGCCTGATGGTCTCGACCAGAGGGAGAGGAAGAGTCGTCCATCTGTAAAATCTCTGCTCTCAGTGTGTGTGTGTGAATCTTGACTCATCAGATTTAATTATGTTCACAAATGATAGACTCCGTTTCCTCTGATTCTTTGTCAATGAGAGCTTTATTTTCTTTGACTAATTCCTTTCCTTAACTAATCGTTTTACCACTGTTAGTCTCCAGGATCAGCTATTTTTCCATCCATTTATGATACACCACTACTAACATTTTTTCTTCACAAAGTCTTTTCAGCAAATACTCTGTAAAGGGTTATCAACTATTATTTAACCAATTTTCTTTTAAAGGGTGCGAAATATCAACTGTGCATTAGCACTCGGAGCGAACACAGGCCATGATTTCTTAAAAGCACACAACAAATCAGCTTTTATCCTAGTTTCCCATTTTGTTACACAACCAGGGGGAAGGCTGCAATGGAACATAGTGGTAATAAAGGCACAGTTCATTTGATTAGGCAACTGAAGCTCACTTAGAGATGGAAGGCTCTGCAGCCTCTCTTGAGAGCAAGTCCATCAACAGCAAGTCGTGACTTCCATCTGTCTGCTGAAAGGTTCAATTTATTCACATTTATATTTTGAACCTAGAATGTCTGCTTGACATTGTCAGGATAGAGGAGAGGGTTTTGTGTTGTACTGGCCAAGTAGAGTGGGTAACACGACTCTTTCAACATAGGAGTGGATGAAGATTTAGTTTTAATGATAGATTTAACACTGTTAGTTCATATCAATACTTACTCTGGCCTAAAAACATCTATGGCCAGTTGTCTTTACTCTATGTTATTATAAAAAAAAAACCATTACAGTAAATATCCCATAAACAATAACAAATAACTCAATATTACACAACATTATTATTAGAAATTATGATATAAAACTCTTACCTTTTTCTCTAGTATTTCTAGCTGTTCTTTATAGAAACTAGAGATTGTGGCAAGTTCCTTTTCCTTCTGTTCTAGTTGTTTTGCCTGAAGAAGAAAAAGGGAAAAAAAAAACATGAAAAACAAAGCAAAATGTCAAGATTGAATAAATAAAGAACAGTTTTTTTCTGTATTAAATTAAAATACATTTTCCACATCTCAATACTGAACATCAACTGCTTGAGAGAAGAAAAAAAAAGAAAATAGATTTCATTGTACCACACAAAATGAAATAATTTCTACACTTCATGCCATCATGCCATGAATAAAAAATAAAACTTCTGAAACATGCCAGCGTGCATGAGATTTGTAGATGTTTACACCAGCTTTCCTTTGGCAACACACTCCTAGGGCATTTGCAGTATACAAATACATATTGTGTTTGCAGCCCATGAGGGTAATGAGCTAAGCACTTCAACACTAGTATAAACCATGATATGGTAAATGAACACGGCACAAACAGGCCATGATGGCCCACAGACTTAATGTAGCACAAAAGTCGAAAGTATGTATTACAACATGGTGCGACCCTACAGGCACGACGGTGTTAAACACACACACACACACACACACGGGCGGTGTGTCACGGCATAATGGTAACTGATCGCTGAGTCTGATTTGTACATTAGTGGATGTGATAAGGGATCAGACGGAGCGACGGCATCTTGTGTTGCTGATCTACTGATTCTCTGTGCTCTCGGCTGATATCTGGTAGGAAAAAAGGATAGACGAAACACCGACGTGGCATTTCAAGTACAGTAATCCAGTTCAATCTTATCCTAATTTAACAGGTGCATCCATCTCCAAAGAGAACATCTGCAAATCCCTATACAGAGCTTGCTGCAGGTTTTTTTTTTACTCTACACTGGCTATTTGATGCTTAAAGACACCCTGTGTTTTTGTGTGTGTGTGCCTATGTGTGTGTGTGGGGGGGTGTGTATTAGTGTTTGTGTGTGTAAAATCACATCTGCCAGCAGCACAGATGATGTGTAATTTTCTAGTTGAATACCTCCTAAAGTGTTGTTGTGTGGAATGGCGGCAGCACATTGACGGCCTCGCTTTAATGCACAATGAAAACATGACATTTGAATAGAGAAGCGAGTGAATGAGAGAGGGGAAAAGGTAGAGAAAAACAAGGGGGGTTTAAGGGGAGGGGGTGATAGAGAAACAGGAGGTGCCCACAGTGGTATTGTTTCTTACCAAAGCATCCAAATCTGCCGGCTGGGAAAGAGGGAGGGGAGGGTGGTTAGCTACACTGTAGAGGGTGGGAGATCATAGGAAACATACTTTGGAAGAGAAGGGTGTTGAAGAGGAGGAGAGAGAGTAAACACATACAAACGTCAACATACAGTGTGTACAGTATGAAGATGAAGGTGAAGATCAGTGGAACAGTGATCAGTCCAAATGGTGGTTAAGGTGAGAACAGCTTTTCAACCAAGTAAACTGATTTGCACAAGGTAACACTCATGACTCACACACTCTCAGCAGAAATAAGGACTCAACTTTGAGGAAATACAACACTGCAACAGATTCATCCATACATTCCATCCATCCTGTCTGCTCTACCAACAACATTCTGCTCACATGATGAACTTTTTTTGATGACAATAAAAGGACTGAGAACAAGGAGAACTGCTTTGTTGATACTGTCTACATCACCTCTTATACAGCACGTACGTTATCAAAGTCAAAGGCACTGGTGGAGGTGCGTCAGCAGGCAGACCACCAGCCTGGATTTTCACATGTACTGAATGTGTTTTACTGCCTACTCTATACAGACACCTGATCTCAGGTATGGACTGAATATAATGGGTATTTTCTTACTCATCGAACATAAGCAGCAGCTTTATTTCTGAGAAAAACAGTAATTGTGATAATGTCTGCGGTCCCTCGTTTATTTCCTTCATCGAACAACTCATTTATGAAACAGGTGAAAGAAGAGTGGAGTAAGAAAGATGAAACTTTTTATATACACACTGCAGAACCTCAGCACTAGTCAAAGTGATGGTGTAGATACGTACTGTATGTCTTAGCACACGATTATTACAACACGTCAACTTTACATCCACAACACGTGTCCGCCCACCTGTTTTTCCTGCATCTCCAATTTTTGATTTAAAATGAGAAGCTCTTGTTCAGAGTCGGTTTTATACGATCAATTCGGCACAAGTGTGCGTATAAATCCTAACAACACATTTATTGTTGTTTTCACTGTTAAGTACATTTCACTACATAGTAAAAAAATAAGCAAGATCTCAGTGTATTTACTTTACGGTCAACTTTTACCGCCGCTCGCGACTGTTCATTTGTAGGTGGGACATTAATATTAAAAGGGCAGGCGTGTGTTTACTGCCTACTTCACGGCAAATCTTAGCTTGACTTGGACAGACAGAAGTGAGGATTAACATCTCACCATCTGTTTTATATCGCCGTTTATAGACCCGTGAATATTTCGGTCTCAGATGCAGACACTAAATATTTTATGATGCCACACTCTACGCTACAATATCTAACAAAACCTTTGTCACAAAATCAAACAACATTCAGTTAGGCATCATAACACAGACACACCAGGGACCCTACATGGGTGCCTTTATCCTTAGCCTCTCAATTGTGAGTGGTCCCAGTCCGGCAGTAGACACAGAGCAGGAAGGGATAGATTAGAGCAGTGGGTGGCTCTAATGTTGCCATGCCTCATAAAAACACCATTCAGTTAAATGAGGTGAACTCACAAAGTCACTCGTTACAGTGTGTGTGTGCTGAGTAATCTGTGTAACGGATCCAGCCACCACCATCTGCTTAACCTCTCCACTCCTCAGTGGCTGGCCCAGAAGTGAGCCTGTCTCTTACTGTGCGTGTGTGTTGGTGTGTACGACAGTGTGTGTGAGGCCAACCCACAGGGTGGTCACAGGAGTGGTGTGAGACTTTTAAAAGAGGGGTTCAGGTTCTCATTGTGTTCTATATACAAACACACACACACACACACACACACCTAGGCAGTTTGGAGGCTCCATGGGCCGTAGCAGACATTTCAGGTACTTTCACTGGATGTCGTTGGGCTCCCTGGTGACCAACAGTCAGCAACCTTGGTCTAAATGTTGAGTGACAAAAATCACCTGAGCCAGCAAAAACCACAGCCAGCCTACGGTTCCAAATAAAGTCCCTGGGTTCACAAAGTCACTAAGCATACACTGGGTTTTCTCTCATTTTACATTCTTTAGTAGCAGGGCTGGTCCTGGGGTTTAAATTTATTTAGAAAGAACAACAAAAATGACTAATGTCATCAGTAGCCACTAGAGGGCCCCATACACATATATGTATATATATATATATACATAGGTACATATAAACATATATAGAGAGTAAATATATGTATACTGTATGTATACTGTATAGATGTGCATCCACACAGTACCAGGTAAAGAGAGGTCAAACACATTGATTAGGATGGTGGTTTCACTTGGGCTCCCTTTACATGGTTGATTGCAGGACATTTTATTATCAGTGCTTGACTAACTTATGACTGCTGCGGTTCTAACATGAAAGTCAGCAGATGCTCCAGCTTGGCAACACTTCATGCTTCATTTAGACTTGAAACAGCAATATTCCCGCAAAGCCGTGTGTGTAAGTGTGTGTGGGTGTTTGCCGTTATCATGCAGAAGCCCACCCCCTGGGGGGGGGGGGGGCTTTACCGTTGAGGGCAGCCGATGGTAATGCAAGCAGCGTTGCAAATTAGGAAACAAACAATTATTTTTGCTTGAATTTAAACATAGTTTAATTTTGGAGGCGAGGGATTTGGATACAAATAGTTTGGAGTATTAGTTGTATGGGGATGAAAAAATACACTGGCACAAAATAGTCGTTTCATAAAAATCTATTCCTGTAAGTCAAAACACTTTCCACAAGAACCAGAACTATTTCTGTTTGGAAATTGTGTGTTTAGAACATGGCTATACCTGTGCATATATATATATATATATATATATATACACATATATATACATTTATATATATATACTGTATATATATAGTGTATCTATATGAAAGAAACACATCAAACAGGGTGAGCAAATACAGTTCAAACACCGTACATACAGTATCTGTGACACATCCCAGTACCACATGAAGGTGGCACACTCATCAGCATGCAGCCATTAATACAGCGCTGGGCTTCACACAATCACACTACACCTTGCAGAAACACTAGGGGCAGGCATTGGTTATTCTAGCTCCGTGCTCATTAAATGTGTGTTCATCATGGCTCCGGGAGGTGCAATGAATTAACACTAAATCATCAGCCTGCGTTCCTGTAGTCGTACAGAGAATATACAGACCAGAACAGGAGGATCCAAGTACGCAAAGAGGAAAGTGATGGTGGTAATAAAGGCACTTGAGTCTATATTTTGTTTTTAACATAACGGACAATAATAATTAAAAAAAAAAAAAAAAAAAGGAAGACTTAACACTCGGTGATTTTGGAAAGTCAGTCAAAACTAAATACAATAGAACCAATAGAAATCAGCCACTGTAGTTCTATTTTTTAATTTGTACCATTCAAAATATGCTTCTTCAAATTATATCTAAAACCATTTTTGTGAATGCCTTTAACATACAAAGAATCTTAGAACTTCAAAATCTTTAGGTCTCACTTGTTAATCGTTCCAACATAAATCATCGTTTTCTCTTAGTAAGAACGAACAATAAAGAAACACCTCTGTTCTGTTGGATTATAACTCTTGGCCGACCGTCTCATTACATCACAGCTGCTCTCTGATGGGAGAGGTATTCCACTCCTACACGTTTGTCCTTTGCACCGTCAGGACTTGCGCTAGCCCCCCCACCCCCCTTCCCCCACGAGGCTTTGTGTAAATCTCCTCGGACGATGAGCACTCTGCTCATCAGCAATTACAACCGCTCGGAAGACGAGAAAGTGCAGAACAGCGCCGTGTGCATGTGTGTCGAAGTACAAAGGGGCTCAGCTGCTTTAACACGCAGAAAAGATGTCAAGTCTGTGATTACACCGGCTGATAATGTGTGCATATGTGACTGTGACGCCATTGTGTTTCACAATGTCTATGTGTCTGAGAGCAAATTCTATAGTTCCCTGTTGGGGTGTGTGTGCGCACACGCACTTTCTCAATAATGTCACACTTACAGACCTAAAAGCCACGGCTGGGGAAAAAGTCAACATGTATCTGCAGTACATGATTTCAATGTACAACCCTCGTCTTCTGTCTGTACAACTCTCTCTTTCTCTTACTGTCTCCATCCTTTTTTCCCCGCCTTCTAGAGTTGGCTAAGGAAAAAACAGACCCAAAATCAAGCTAGGCAAAAAAAAACCAAAAAAAACCCCAGCCAATTCTGTGTGGCCTCTACAAATATGAAAGTGCGATTTGGAGATAAAGAATTTTTGGTCCACTGTCAACAGGCTGCCGCACAGTTCAAGCAGAGTGACGGCTCGATTCCTTTGCTCCAGTTCCTTTTTTTCCCCTCACCACACCTGTGTGTAGCGGTCAATAGGGCATCTGAAAACCATGGCAACACCATGCTGAGCTGAAAGTGTGGAAGCCAGGTCGGTGGAGCTGTATGAAAGCAGCATGGGTGTTTCAAAGATGTCGCCTCTGCATCATTTTATCACAACTGATGCAAATGGAGAGAGTGGAAGAAAAAAAACAAGCTGCTTTTCATCAGCTTGTTTGGGGTCCTCATATGTCCTGTACTGATTGTTTATGGTCATGTTCAGCCAGGTGTGGAAAAAACATTTAGAGGACATTTTTCATTTTGACTTATCTGATATGCCTATATTGTTCAAACACAAACACAAACACAGCAATTTCCGATTCCGATATCAACCAATACCGATAAAGGCCTGGTAATATTTATTTATCTGTACAATCCACTGTGTGAGTATGAGATTAATTAAATGAGCTGCAATGCTGCCATCTAGTGACTTTCACTTTAATATACAGCCGTTTATCCCTAAAACTATTTTTAGGGGACACATCATTTGGCGAAAGCTAGGCATTGCATTATCGGGTTTTCATTATCGGAGAATAAACTGACAAATATGACATAACATGCTAATATCAGGCCGATGTACACACATAATACCAACAAATACCAACAAAACAACTCTGCTACTACAACAAACTTCAAGAAGCTTAACAGACTCAAAAGTGATTGAGATAATAACTGATGATAAAGCACATTTGCTGTATTTGTTGTAAAAAGCTTCCTCCAGTACGGTGTTAAAAATATTAAAATACCAACACTGTAGAAAATTAGTCATGATTTCTGGAGCGGTGCAGAGAGAGCTGGCCCTTTTATTGGCTGTTCCACCATATCTGGTCTGTATACAGGTTCTTTTTGGGGCTTTTGTCTGGGCAAAAAAATCTAATGCTGCAAAAAATGTATAAAAAGGAAAATGTCTGAAAGACAGCTGGGCAAGCAATGTAGAAACCACATGTCAATTTTGGCACGGAGTTTTGGGATGAAATTTTTTTTTGGTATTGGTTGCATATGAAATGAGGAGCTCATTCATCCAAATTTAATAGAAGCAGGAAAGAGAGAGAGAGAGAGAGAGAGAGAACTCAGGGTAGTTTAAATGATTTTTCTTTTAAAATGTAATCCTGCCTCTTCAAGCTTGAAATCGACCATTAATGTTTCAAAATAAACTGCAAATCTATGTCGAAAGAAAGTAAGAGAGAAAGGGAGAATATAAATATTAATTAACAGCACTAACAGCATATATTAACAGCACGTCATTCACTTGTTACTGAACACAGATGGCAGGAAGGTGACTGCTGGTAAGAAAGATAACGTAAGTCACGGCTGCATATTCAGTGCTCAGAGTATGTTCTTGTTCTTTCAAGTAACACTTCTCCGCAGCAGCAGCAGCAGCAGCAGCAGCAGCAGCAGCAGCAGCAGCGTTCAGTTAATATGTGTAGCATCAGCCGCTGTGGTCTGAGTGTTTGTTATCTCAGGTCTGACTTTAATGAATGTTGGGCTTTTCACTCTGGTTTTCATCAGCTTTCTTTTTGAAAGTGTCAAATGCTTCACTGTGAATCATCACATACACACACACACACACAGAGATACACACATGTCCAAACGACTGCACCTGGAGGTTAAACAGAGAAAGATAAAAAAAAAAGATGAGAGGAAAAGTAAAAGAAAAAAAAGTGGCCTTTGGAGCCATGTTGCTGTACAAGGTGTGCGCTTTCCTGACCAAATGTATTTCAACACTGCCATCTAGTGTTGAAATAAATTGATCTGAAGATCGTTTCTTCTTAGCAAACCTTCAGTTCTGATCAGTGATATTTATCAGACAGACACAAAATTATTTTCTTTTCCAAAGACCGGTAATTTAAGAAAATAAAATTCCAAGCGCTTATTAAAAGCATCTGAGTAATGCGGTTACTTTGAGGCAGCAAATGAAAGAAAATATTAAATATTTAGGAGTAAAAGAAAACATTCAACAGAAAACTCCATAACAACACCCCCACCCCTGCGCCTCCCTCAAAAAAAATAAAATAAATCAATACTCTCACCTTCCCAGGAAGCTTCTGAAATTCAATAGCTTAGAGCATCTGCTTGTTACTACTGCCCAACACTGAAGGCTTTATATTTAGAATAGAATTTTCTGTGCAGCAGAGATGTCACCTCTCAGACACAGTGACTATAGTTCAGGGCAGGAAACAAACTGAGAGTGTTAATGAGGATAAGGGCAGGCGCAGACGCCAGGTGTTAACATCACTAGCTGTTTCTTCTGCGTCTTTGCTCCATTTGCAATTGTGAGTGCCTTAAATGGAGGAAAAGAAAAAAAGTGGAACAGCAGCTCTGCAGGTGGAGTGAGACTCCGTGTGTCACTGAATCAGTAAGAACTTCTGGAAAAACTATAGCAACAATTGGCATGTTTCCTCAGAAATATGGGCTCTTTCTCTAAGAAACAGATTTTTTTAATCACACAATATGCTGTGATAGGAGCATCTGTTAATAGAAAAAAATCTGTGACAAAAAAATAGTTTCAATATCAGAAAATACAACATTGTGGAACAAAAATCCCCTGATGTGAGTTTGATCGCAGCTGTTCTGACCAGAATCTTTGACTTTCAACAATAAACATGAGGAGAGTCTGAAAACAGGAGGTTATTCTAAATTCACTGTCTGAGGAACCAAGGTTTGTCTGTTCTTATTTACAATCACCCACACCACCATACATCAATGTGAATGTGAATGTGTGACAATCACAGCTCACTTTAACAGAACTGTGATGTGGTTAAAAAAACTTAACACACACAAAAAAAACACAGTATAATTGGAGTGATGGATGAGGAACCTCTGGAATGACATCTTCATTTTTATTTATTTATTTAATTTATTATTTACTGAAAAACAGTTAATTGAAAATATAAATTGCTTTTTGTAAATAATTATAATTACAATTAAACGAGCTGTGAAAATCATGTATGTGAATTCTCTGTGTGCTAATTAATACCAACAGTGACAAATCTAACTCCATCAAACTTCTTCTGGTTGATTGATGTAGGATTATACTGACACTGAATTAACACAATATGCAAAAATTATACTTTGTCCCATTTATGTATGCCAAATTACTTGACTGATTAATCGTGATTAAAGGTTTTAATTGATAAGAGCATTAATTCTTCTGCTTGGCTCATGCACACATACATTTACACAGAAATATTGTATACAGCCAAAAAAAAACCCCATCCCAGTGGAAGCAGTTGGCACTGAAACAGGAGTAAATGCCTAATGTGAGTGCTGCTGACAGTAGGCCTGAGGCAGTGTGTGGAGCAGCTCAGCTCTTCACACTGACAGGTGTTACATCCCTCACCTCCCCATCCTCCAAACACTAACACAGCGTGTGCATGTGGGGAAAAAGTGTTTGTGTACTTTGGTAACAAGGCAAGGTTCTGTGTGTGTACTTGTTTTCTCCTCTGGGAAATGAAGCAGCTCCCAAACTACTGAGGGAGAGTACTTTAAGGTGGGAGAGGGGGGACGAGGGGGAGTGGAGAGGTTTCTTTAAATCTCCAGCTGTGAAGCTGCTGCTGAATGTAACGGTCGATTAAAAATGCACAAAAATAAATGGGGAGCCCTCCTGCTAAGCAGGGACATTTGATACTGGAGGAACTATTGAATCAGATTGACAGGTTCGTCTTAAAAGGGGAGCTGGACGGATAGATGATGTTGGATGGTTAGATGGATGTTGGATGGATGAATAGAATGATCACTGCTCATAAATATAACATAAAATTATTGATCCCAACAACTAGTCTAGCACTCTGGCTTATTGAAAAAAAAAGGGATTGATTACTGAAAGGCATCCAGAGCAACATGTAGTGTCATTTGCAATTCAATCAGCATTTTGAATTTAACAATACTTTGAGAACAGAGCAGAAGTGTCATCAGCAGCAATGTGACTGTGAAATAATAAAATAAAATGTTGCAATAAAATGAAGTTAACTGCATATCCATCAGTTGAATACAAAATTACCAAAACACTGAAAAAAGAAAAAATACTATTTTTTCAAGCCAAAAGACCATCTTTAGTAAAAAAGAAACATTAAAAAAAAACATTCATCACATTCTTTTTCTGGTGCAAATAAAATGCATTTCATTGAACTAATCAGTGCTGCTATTCACAAAAGCACCACAAGAGGGTGTTACTGACTGGTTTCTGTAATTAAGGAACTGTATTTCCTTGTTATTAACCCACTGTAAAGAAAAACACTACTGTTGTCTTAGAGGGGTTTTTAACATAGACTATACTGTTGTGACGTCACTTCAGTCGTCAACATACTGTTGTCCTTCATTTACCTGATGCCTACTGACAATGTTGGCGAAGGTAATCTACACAGTTTGGCTTTAAACTTTTAGTAAGGAGCCTAGTTTCTTTTACTCACCAGTAACTTGGCTCTTTCCTGCTCCTCGTGGACTTTCCCTCTCTCAGTTATGAGACTGGGCATCAGCTCCACTTCCTCGTGGCTTGAGTATGCACCAGACTTTCTTTCCCTCTGAGTCAATCTGGCCAGGTGCTCCTCCAACAGTGTCTGCTGACGCTCAAAGCTGAAATGGATGAATGACGACAGCTGCTACAAAATGTCCTTAATTCATCATACCTCAGCCTGATTAAATGTTTTGATTTTTCAGGTCAAGTCAGAATTTGTATGAGTTAAAACAACAACCTAAAACATACAGAAAAACAGGAAAAGCAACAGTTATAAAATTACACAAATAAAATTACATTAAATATATCGAACTATAAAATAGATATTGTATAAATATACATAATATTTTTGTACATCAGAAAAGAAAAAGCAAAATAGAAAGTGTTATTCAGGCTAACTTTCTGTCTCAGCTATGTGAATGAAATTACATAATTGTTTTCGCAACAAATGTCAAAATGATATAATGATGGAATAATATATAAAGCCATAATGTCAGTGTGAAGTCTGGACCTCAGTGTTTTCCTTAATGATTGTGGAAAGAGATTAGAGTGAGTGTACAGGATTGGATTACCATACAACTGCGTTGTACCAGTGTACCTAAAGAGTGTAATGGGCTCTCAAATGCAAACATGCAGCACCACCTGCAGGTCAAAGAAGGGGATCGACATGCTTGATGTTGACAAACTGAGCTGCATTCTTTCTCTTTTGAGTTTTTTTTTTTTTGTAAAGTAAAAGCTGATTGGGTTTTCACAAAACACAGGCGAATTAATACTTACTCTTTTCGCAGTTCTTCACGTATTTCTGCTGCGGATGGTCGTGACAGGTTTGAATCTGCAATTCATGTCAAATGAGGATTGACACATTTAGTATTACAAATAAGTAGTTTTAGAGAATCGATTCATTCATTGTCTTGAATTTAACAAACTGCACATATTTGCAAGCTTGAAATTTGTCGCTGTGTCCATTACTCCACTGTCCAGTGGACATTTTCAGCCTATAGTGAATTAAACTTATGACATAAATACGACAGGACAGAGTGGACTTTCATACTTGGTGGTGGTTTGTCAGTGTCTGTTGGAGATGGTGACGGCCTGGTGCTCCCAGATTCTGAAGGTTCTCTCATTCGATGGATCAGGTCCTCTGAGATCTGGACAAAACAATAACATTTGGAAAATAAAGACAAAAACATGGTTCTAGGGGGCACTGTGCACTGCTGTGTGCACTTCTAATTCCGTTTAAATTCACTGCCCACACAACACTGGTTTTAAATGTACTGCCACTGCTTCTCCACTGGTGATTTTTTTAACATATAGTAGAAGAATTAAATCCTTATTGTATGTTCCACTCAGGTTCTGTGTCTTTGGGCACAACCATGAACAAAAGGCTTAAGACTGTCAATGTAATGTGTAAAGACTGAGTGTATGGATATGTGACAAAGACACAAAACAAACAAACAAAATTGTTCAGATAATTGAAGGTGGTGTGTATACTGTACTGCAGTATACTACCACTACTTTGCCTTATTGTTCTGGCACCTTAAATGGTTACTGTCATCAAGAACAAATGCCATGGATAATACAAATTGTATTATTTCAAATTTTAATATCAACCAAAATCTTGTGAAAAACTTTCGGACACATCACTCTTCAGCGTCATACACAGCAATAATCAACCGTTAGTGCATAATGTTAATTTTATTTCTTGTATTTCTTGTAGAAGTTGAAGCTAAATTATTAGCATTTAGTCTAAATAAAGCTCAAAGTATTTATAAAGCATGACATTCAACACAAAATATCTGAATTATGTGCATTATATCACCAATTTATCTTAGATTATCCCTTAAAATATTGCATCTATATCAACAAATAGCTATATATCCGTGTAAATATAGGAAAGTAGGTATGCAAGTAAGTATGTAACTACATGGGGGAAAAAAGGGTTAACGTGAACACATGTGCACCACACAGATAGCCTATGTCAAAATGTCGAGCAAAATTTGGTGTTATGATTTGCAAAATACGATGTGTTGAACAATGATTATTAATAATTGAGATTAAGTTCTGACACTACTCCACCTCAGACCTGACCCACTGGCAGTGGTACCCGGCAGTGGGGCAGAGACAAAGTTAGTGACCGGGTGTGACCGTGGGTTCGTCCGAGGACAGAGGACACTGACTCCAGTATATGACCGTTAAGGGAAATAAGCTAACGGTCAGGAGCTCTGTGACGGTCAAGCTAAAATGTTGATTTCACCTCACGCGTCGAGTAAAGGTAATATGTATAATCTACCTTCACTCCTTCAATTACTGTGACGTTCTTTTCTCCGTCCAGTCTAAAAGACATATTCCTCGATGTGCTTTCACTTCCGCCCATTTTCCTCCAGGGGTCCACTAACAGCTGCAGAAAAATAAATAGAATCCAACACAAGCTCCCGTCACAGGAAGCAACGGAAAGGCAGAAGTCACCACCACAGCCGCTGCTAGTCTGAAGACTCCAATAAAGGTCATTGCGGCGCAACAGTATCCTCGACGCCGATTGGCTGACAGAAACAGAAGGGAACCAATAGTGATAAGCTATAAATCGATGTAGACCTAGGAAGATGGGAGATGTAGGCGGAAAGCTGAGGGCGAGACGATTTATCCTGAATACATGAATTTGTAAGCTTTGTCAGGGTGAAGATTTGTTTAAACTGTGTTTTATTCCATTTCTAATGTCAGAAATGGAACGAATATATATTTACATAACACAAGTTAAAATCTTACCGCACAGACCTTTGTAAATTGTGTTTGTTTTATTTCTTTTTTTCAAGTCATAGAGCAGACTCGCCATGTTGTAACAATATGTCGTTTTGGGCTGATTTGTTTTTGCTCAATGATCCCTTGCTCCTCTTTTCTTCATCTCAATTTAAGCTCTAAGGTTTTTCTTCTTGTCTTCTTTCATCTCAATTTAAGCTCTAAGGTTTTTCCATTATGTAAAGACTGAGTGTATGGATATGTGACAAAGACACAAAACAAACAAACAAAATTGTTCAGATAATTGAAGGTGGTGTGTATACTGTACTGCAGTATACTACCACTACTTTGCCTTATTGTTCTGGCACCTTAAATGGTTACTGTCATCAAGAACAAATGCCATGGATAATACAAATTGTATTATTTCAAATTTTAATATCAACCAAAATCTTGTGAAAAACTTTCGGACACATCACTCTTCAGCGTCATACACAGCAATAATCAACCGTTAGTGCATAATGTTAATTTTATTTCTTGTATTTCTTGTAGAAGTTGAAGCTAAATTATTAGCATTTAGTCTAAATAAAGCTCAAAGTATTTATAAAGCATGACATTCAACACAAAATATCTGAATTATGTGCATTATATCACCAATTTATCTTAGATTATCCCTTAAAATATTGCATCTATATCAACAAATAGCTATATATCCGTGTAAATATAGGAAAGTAGGTATGCAAGTAAGTATGTAACTACATGGGGGAAAAAAGGGTTAACGTGAACACATGTGCACCACACAGATAGCCTATGTCAAAATGTCGAGCAAAATTTGGTGTTATGATTTGCAAAATACGATGTGTTGAACAATGATTATTAATAATTGAGATTAAGTTCTGACACTACTCCACCTCAGACCTGACCCACTGGCAGTGGTACCCGGCAGTGGGGCAGAGACAAAGTTAGTGACCGGGTGTGACCGTGGGTTCGTCCGAGGACAGAGGACACTGACTCCAGTATATGACCGTTAAGGGAAATAAGCTAACGGTCAGGAGCTCTGTGACGGTCAAGCTAAAATGTTGATTTCACCTCACGCGTCGAGTAAAGGTAATATGTATAATCTACCTTCACTCCTTCAATTACTGTGACGTTCTTTTCTCCGTCCAGTCTAAAAGACATATTCCTCGATGTGCTTTCACTTCCGCCCATTTTCCTCCAGGGGTCCACTAACAGCTGCAGAAAAATAAATAGAATCCAACACAAGCTCCCGTCACAGGAAGCAACGGAAAGGCAGAAGTCACCACCACAGCCGCTGCTAGTCTGAAGACTCCAATAAAGGTCATTGCGGCGCAACAGTATCCTCGACGCCGATTGGCTGACAGAAACAGAAGGGAACCAATAGTGATAAGCTATAAATCGATGTAGACCTAGGAAGATGGGAGATGTAGGCGGAAAGCTGAGGGCGAGACGATTTATCCTGAATACATGAATTTGTAAGCTTTGTCAGGGTGAAGATTTGTTTAAACTGTGTTTTATTCCATTTCTAATGTCAGAAATGGAACGAATATATATTTACATAACACAAGTTAAAATCTTACCGCACAGACCTTTGTAAATTGTGTTTGTTTTATTTCTTTTTTTCAAGTCATAGAGCAGACTCGCCATGTTGTAACAATATGTCGTTTTGGGCTGATTTGTTTTTGCTCAATGATCCCTTGCTCCTCTTTTCTTCATCTCAATTTAAGCTCTAAGGTTTTTCTTCTTGTCTTCTTTTGTCTTCTTTTAAGTGGTAATGCAATGTTTTATTTGATCAGGATTTTTATATACATGCCATGCACACACATGGATCAACATTATTTTAAAAGCAACAAAACACACAAACAGAAGGACAAAATTACTATTTTATTATGTGGCCCGTGCAATGCTAGCTGCACTTCAGATACGAACTGAATATTCTACAATCAATCCAGATAAATAAAATCATTTCACCTGCAAACAGCTTCTACGTCCAGAGAGAGCACTGACATCTTACCGAGGTGCAATTGTCATATATTCAAATAATTTGATTAATCTGGAACAAAGCGATTTTCACAGCAAGAAAACAAAACAAAAGTAGAATTGGCCACTGTGTCTTCTGAAAAATGTTACTTCCCCACAATGCAGCAATGAAAACAAAACCATATCCCCGTAATTTCTGATTACACCTTACCACTAAATACTGTTTGTTTTTAAACCCCAATACACTGTATAGTACATACTGTTTTTGTACATGGTAGTAAGTGTGGCAATTCAAATAAGGTGGTTTTAAAAGACTAACATAAACTATTATGATATAATGACTTCAGGTACGTTGAGACACATACATGACATTTGTTGCACAATAAACCATGTCTTAGAATTACAAAGAGCATTTTTTCTAAGGAAAACAAAATATATATTTTTAGTGGAGCTGTATATGGTACATATCACAACATGATACAAACAATTTCAGCATTTTTTGGTCTATTGTTACCCCCCTTGTCTTAACAGTTACACCACTCTTAATACAGGATAGCAGCAACATAAAAGCAACTTGTGCCGTCAGCATTTTCCATAGCACAGGAAAATGAATTACATCAGCATGAAGAGTCTTGGCCTGAAGAAATAAAGTTATTTTTGCACATCAGTTTGAATGCCACACACAGTGCTACCTCAAGAGCAAAAATGACTGATGTGCTTTCAGTGGAAGGAATGATCGAAGGCGTGCAAGAGTTTCAGCAACAAATTAGAGGATTAGTTTAGTCCGACCTAAGCCCGAGATACAATTACTGCTGTTCAAAGCCTAACATTTGAGTTGTGGTCTACATTAATGCAACGTCTGCATTCACAGTTTACCAATTACCTAATGATGTTTTAGTGAAGATGATAACACACATACACACGGTTCGCTTTGTTGATGAGATAAAAGAGCACGTGAACCAGAAGACAAAGCACACGTGTCACAATGAACTAGAACATTCTCTGTTCTGTACGGCAGCACGGTGACGGCCGAGTCACGATCCCAACACAGGACAGGAGATACAGTCAGTTCAGAGTATGTAAGGCTTTAGTGGGAATGTAGAAATGTCAGTCTGTTGTTATGAAGATGCAAATTTGAAGTACAACAGAAACACCCAAGGCTAGAAAACTGAGCATTTTATGTTGGAATGCACAAGTAAGCAGAAGCCCACATTGAAAAGCTTGGGAAAGACAATCAACAAAGAGTCTGTTGGCGCCACACCTTACGTCAGTACTGTGATTGTTGGAGCTGTAGCAGCAGTGCGCCCTGGGATCAGTGTTTTAAAAGCAGTTGTTAAAATTAAAGTCCTCAACATAGCTGATCAGCCAAAGTCCACCCTCTAGTGTTCAGATGCATATTGCATATGTTTTGTTCCACTGCCACGGATCATCGTTCTGCATAGCACATGCAGTGTTCATAACATCTTAAGATAAGGAGGATGTGTGTTTTCGTTTTGCCATCACACGTTAATGGGTCTCCAGCGCTCGGCTTCAATGCTGTTCACGCTGCTGGACCCAAAAGGTCCAGAGGCAACATCATCCAGGTAATGCCCCACCATACGAGAGCTGCTTGGACCAGAGCCGTCGATCTGGGTGGAGGAGTAGAACAGGCTCTGGTCGGTCTGCTCCTTGCGCCCGAGAGTTGTAGCAACAGTGGGGGGCAAGTGGACGTCAGTTTCTTCCGGCTCATCTATCTGGGACTTGTAGGAGAACAGGATCTTGGGCTCTGAGCTGTGAAAGAGCAGCAGAGGAAAAAGTATATGAAAAAGAGAAAACCCATCTATAAAAAAAAAAGAGAAGCTGTATAGACTTCTGTACTCACCCAAAGAAGCCTTTGAGGAATGTGATATAAATAAGTGGAGCAAATGTGGAGAAATACAGGAAGGTGGTGACATCAACACAGCTGGATCAAAAAAAGATGAATTCAAAATCATAGTTATCAAAGACTACATGTAATCCATACATTTTCAGTCAGTCTGGAGTTCAGTCATATGTTGCAACACACTGTTTGTGTGAGGTTAAAACTCACCAGAGGCCCTCTATGATCTCAGCACAGAGCAGAGCACTACCCAGACCCTGGACCAGGTTTAGTAAAGCCAGGATGCCAGCATAAACATAGAAACTCCTCTTAGCTAAACAGCAAAATAAATAATAATGTTAAACCATTTGAGTTCAATCCACAGACTCTCATATTCATATTCAGCTCTTTGTACATATTTATCCATTTTAAATGTCAGTATCAAAACATGAATAAAGCATGAACTATACTGTTAAAAATGTATTTATATTTTTAAACTCTAACAGCTCATACTGACTGTGTATGATTGAATATGATTCTTTTTTCTACAAAATGTTGCAGTTAATGGTTTTGCCAATAATATAGCATCAATAATAGCATAATACATATTATCTAACACTATTATTGACACAGAGAGGTCAAAATCTTAAACTTACATGGAAGAGATATCCGTTCTCTCAATGGCGTTTTAGGTAAAAATACAATCAAAGAGTAAACCTACCAAACAGGGAACAAAAGAAAAAATACTTTAGTCAATCATTGTCAAATAACATATTTGAAAAATACAACGCCTTATCCATATGTAAGAAGTGGACATTTCTATTGAAATGTAAAAGTCTCTTTATTGCAATTAAATTAAGCAAATGTATATCACAGAGACTGTATATCTAAAATCCTTCTATAACATATTTGTTTCCTGTAGATTTAACAAATACGTATACAATACTGCTGCAGAATAAATAGTCACTGACCAAGAAAAAGAAGCAGGAACTGGCCAACCAGAAGTGCCGTCCTCCATGGCCGTAGATGTTGAAGTCCTCAGCAGAGAGGTGCCTGTCGGGATAAAGGATCTCTAACGTTCCCTAAAAAAGATTTCACAACGACAAATTAATTTCAAACAATAAAACAAATAATTTCAGCCTTATCATTAGATTATGATCTTCGACATTGATGGTTACCTGTGTGATGGAGTAAGCCAGAGCGAGGACAGCAGTGATTGCCAGCACACGTTTTATACTGGACTTGCTCTCAAGGTGACCTAAAGAACACATTAAAATGAGTGTTAGTAAATACTAAAAAAAGGCACTGGTGGAGGAGCGTCAGGCAGCAATGCCCAGCAGGCAGACTACCAGTCTGTATTTTCATAGGCAACGCCTATATTTATCCTTGCACATGGATTTAACTGACAGATCTAACTGACTTTGACGACAAAGAGAGGATGTGAGGTGGACAGGGAACCAGGGTACAGTGAAAACAGGAATTAAAAACAACAACAAACACAACAGGTTTTACTTCTTAAAGAGAACTAAAACCTGGAAGTCAACTAACCAAACGCCAGTCCCAAGATAATGACGCTGAGCTCGATGGCCAACAAGAAGAAACGTGTGATTTCCCACAGCACCTGAGAAGAGAATGAACATCGTCCTTACAACTAGTACAATTATTATTATTATTCTACCAACGTAGACCAAACATGATGAAAACAAACAGTACGTAGACCAAACATGATGAAAACAAACGTCTCAACAAATGTCTCAACAAAGGAGGTCACAAAGTAATTATTATTATTATCACTTGTTTGTTTTTTCCTCTATAAAGAAGTCATGACATCACACTATGGGAACAGTGAGTCCATCAACAGATCTCTCTGTTGTGTAAGGAATGTCAGTGACACATCCCTTCATTTACAGCCATGACAGAACTGTAGAGTTAGGCTGAGGCAGAACGTATTTGTGCTGCAGGGGTACGTTCAGACCACCCAAAGGGACAAAGAAAAAGATGCTTATATAAGAATAATGCATTATACTATACTGAATGTTCTAATAATAATAACCGTGCAATAATAGAGTAATAATGCACACTGTGGATACAATCAACTAAGAATCGCAACACATTAAATTTTAATTTGAAATGCTCTAGTAACACAGGACTTCTTAGAAGTGAATCCTTGTATTGAAAACAATGTTTACAGACCAAAGAAAAAAGCTTTGTTTTCACACTAAGGAGACATTTACACTGTAAACATCGACAGTCTCATGATGACTACAGCAAAGACATAATTACAGAAGAACTGTTGTATTATCTGCAACAATAAAGCCCATTTTGACAAGATTTGTTTTTTTTATTTTGCATACACTTATGTACTTGTTTTCAAATAAATTGACTTCTTACTTTGTCTATAATAGTTGCAGCACTGGACGCACTGACAGTCATGGACACAATGGCCCGGGTGATTCCTACTGCTGCCACAACAAACACCTAGGAAACACAGAAAAGTGGCTGAATGAGTATTTATTTCATTTTCATAGACAACGGTATGACAGGCTGTAAAAGAAAGCGGATGAAGAGCTAAATAAGTCAACCAAAAACATTGGAAACAACATTATCAGATCAATATCGAATATCTCTATGACAACAGCCTGATGTTGATAACACAAGAGGAAAAGCACCACATACTAGCACTACTGTTCGGCACCTAATTCAGCAGTGGTTTAAAAACTGGACAGTACATTGGTGTCAGTTTTGATTCAATCTTACCAACAGGTAAAAGGTGACAAATATGGGGCTAGAGGTCAGTCGTATCTTTGCCCTGGCAGAGGGCAACTTCCACATGAGGAATACGAAGAAGGCCACATTGGGCACCAGCAGTAAAATGTCCCAGAACCGCACCCTAGGACGGAGAGATGAGAGTCAGGAGGCATGAAAATCAGTGCAGAATGTTACATTTATAATCTTAACACAGTTATTATTATTATTATTATTTGAACTAGTTAGTCATTGTAGCTATAAAGACACATAAACAAACTGCTATTCTCTATGTCATCCCAAAACCACAGGCTGTGGGAAAATAAACCCAACTCAGGCCGTGGCAGTTACAGCATCAAATCTACTAGCATCAACTACACAGCCACAGACTGTGACTTCACTTTAATTAACTAATTTAATGCCTACATTTGATTACCTGGAACCACTGACGTCCTCATAGAGAATTCGCAGACATGTGTGAGGCTTGGTGAGGTTTTCTTCAGGTTTCAATGTTGTAAATGCTGTTGTGTTATCCAGCGGTGTGGGTGAAATACTGCCATTGTACTGAGCAAACCTAACCACAGCAGTCACTGTGGCTAGCATGGTGTCAGAAACTGAGTCAGGAAAAAAAGGAACCTAATATTAAATTATTGCATCAAGTCATGTTAAAATGATCGGCAGAGAAAGTCATGGTTTTTTTTACCCACTGCTTTAGAAAATAACGAACTGAGTAGAACCGTAACAAATGCTGAATAAACAATTTAGATTAAATTTCTCCAGCACTGTACCTCCAATATACACTGTGTTCATATCAAGTTGCTTATCATTTCAATGGAATGTATATGCTGTAAAAACACAGTCTTATTCCATTGGTTAGTACTGTGTGAAAGGACAATAATCCAGGCTTGCACCAATACATCAGGCAAACGTTACTATACGTCCATATTTCTCTTAGTGACTACCATTTACTCCTTGATAAAAGTAAGACTTTCTAAAGTCCGTGTTTTGATGAATTGTGTGTAAACGGTCAGACTCAGACTGTAGCACTATGTACAGAGCGTTCCGAGAGTAATAAGATGAGGGCAGTGTGTGCTATGAGAAGCTATTATAAGAATCTTAATGTAATTTGTACTTTTTGCTTTTGGTACAAAACATGGTACGAAGAATACATTTAAAATGCAAAATACATTTAAAAAAATTAAACTTTAACATATAATGAAAAAATAAAATATATTTCTCTGGAATTAATTTGTGGCATAAAATCTGTAACATCGTCTGCTCGTTCGACAATAACTTGAATTTGTAAGTAATATTTAAACCGTAAAGTAACCGGTAGAGGAAGATATCTCCAATTGATGTCGATGTACACAACAGGCTATATTTTGTATACAAACATTATTCTTTAATGTAAATGGTTAAACTAACTATAAACAGTAGTACCAGCCATGTCGTTTCATTTCAAACATGTTGGTTATTGCTACAGGCATATACTTCTGCTTTAAACTCTAAGAAGTAATTAATTTCCTGTAGCACAAACAGTGTTTGGTTTCCCCCACATGTGGTTTATCAGATGTACTTTCAATTTCATGTTAGCTAACGCCACTAATGCCACTTCACTCACCGAATTCCCCGGATTTACGAAACCAAAAGTGTGAATTTATATTTTTCCATGAAAAACAGAAATGCCCACTTGAAAATAAACATGTTTAAACAACATATGGCAATGGTTCATAAATTAAAGCTCAACAACAACAATCTGATACCAGCACAAGTGCAATGACGCTAAGCGAACGGAAGAAGAGCTACTACTGTTAGTCAACATGATAAAAACGAAATTCTTACCAAGTCGAGGCTGTAAGGCGATAGGAAATATTTCTGAGAACAAAATAATTCAAACACGTGATGAACTTGCACTCATAAACACTGTAATTGATCGACAAATCGATCACTGATAGGGAACATGTCAGCGCTTGATAGCGTCGTTTACAAATCTCTCCCGTGAAGTCAGCTGACACTCGCCTATAGAAGAGGGTAAGTCACGCGAGACTTCATGTTGGTCGTGACGTTGGCGTTAATTTGGCCTTAAAGCTGTAGTGTGTCGAATAAATGTTTAGCTATGGCACCACTATTTGTGCAAATTTAAGAAAAAATATTTCTGGTTTCTATAAATATCGTTTTATTACTGTCGAATTTATTTACAGGCGCAAGCTTTCGTGGTAAAAATAGGTGAGTCATTTATTTGCTAAATGCAACTGTTCTCTGTACGTCATGGATTTAAGGGTCAGGTATGGCTCTGCATCATTGTAGAGTGTGACTTTGACTTATAAATAGTATATAATAATAATAATAATAATAATAGTAATAATAACAATAATAATAATTTTAAAAGGGGAAAAATTATCTTCGTATTGTATCATTGTAAATTTCCCCCATTGTCATCTTAATAGTATGTGCCAAACGAAAGTAGATCTGTTCTGCTTAACTGCATTTCTGGTTAGTACTTGTGGTACTTTGACTATTTTTGGAGGTGGTGTGTGATGTAAACCTATTTATAGTCAGTGTTTCTAATAGTTCTCATTAGTAATCTTAAAATATTAAGAGTTGTGTATATGAGAAACAGACATTATTGAAATCACATGCTCTACATGCAAATGTTCTATGCCACAAAACATGGAAGCTGGACATGGGAAAATGCCATTTATTTGCATATTATTATTTGTATTATTATTTGTACCATATTACGTAATAGTAATACACTATTAACAGAAACTGATCTGAGCACTGCCTTCAAGTCAGGCCATATTCATGCAGCTAAGCTATGGTCAACTGAAATGTTGTTATGATTATGAATAAACAGTGACGCGTCCTTTTGGGTGTCCTGACATCATCCTGTAGGCCAGGTGCACTGGTTCAGTCAGACTGGCCTTAAATGTGTAAATGTGAGTCTTCCCACTTAAAGGGCTGATGTTGTAAAAGCTCAGCCTGTGAGTCTTGAAGCTCAGTTTTATCTCTAGCCTGCATGATACGGTGGTTCTCTTCAGTGGGACATCGTGACCCCGCTCAAAGGCCGTCAACAGGTTGTTGAACCACATCAGGCACCAGGAGGTTTGGCTACTCTCCAGCGCAGATGACAGACCACTTCGTGCCAGGTTGTCACTGTAACATATACCAATGATCCATGGAGATCCTTCAAGCTCTACGTCCCAGCTATGATCGCCTTGTGAGAAGCTCTGAGTGCTGAGGACCTGGAGGAGGTTGGTGAACCTTCGAGGAGAAGCTGGGTAGGACTGTTTAGTAGCACAGAAAGTCACAGTCTTCAAGTCCTCTGAGAGAACCAGGTTGGGATGGGCTGTTTCTGGGTCAAAGGTCACTTCTGAAGGATTGAGGGTGTTTCGAAGTGAGCGCTGAATATCGCCAAGTTTTTCCCTTAATATAGCATTCATGCTCTCCAGTTTGGAACACACTCGAGCAGGACAGACTTTTGATTCAACAGAGTCTTCGCCATCATCCACAGGTTTTGCCAATAAATCCTCAATTTGCGGTTGAAGACTTTGAAGGTCGTCACCAAAAGCTGCCTCATCCTCTTCAGTCAACAGAGACTCAGCCATGAGCATGGCCCTTCTCAGCTGCTTAGTCAGGTCAGAGACTCGACTGACCCGGCTGGCCAGTGCAGCCTCACCTGGACTTAGCTCCTCCTCGATGATTTGCATCAGCTTTGTACTGTATTGCTCCGACAACTTCTTAATTTGCCCAAGCAATTTGGCTGCTGTCTCCCTCAGGAGAGCATTGGCAGCACTCACTTCTTTCTCCCTTTCCTCCTCCCTCATTAGAACCCCCTCTGCCATCTCCAACTTGAGATTTAACTCTGTGATTTGCGAGGCCAGGTTAAACTTGGGCTGCTCCATCTCTAGTTGTTTTTTTCTGCTGCTGGTGTTTTCTTGCGGCGACATGGGCTGCTCTGTGGATTCAACCTGAGTTTGCGAGCTGACGTCAGATTGATGTGCAGCAGAGCTGTCTTTCCTGGTGGAGTTTTTGTAGGCCTCCACCATGGCACACACTCTCAGGTTTTTTACAAGGTCTGTGGTTCGCTGATATGACACCTGGCATTCAGGGCAGCTGTGATGGTCCAGACCTTCACCCATGGAGTGAAGGCAGGTGAAGCAGTAGATGTGACCACAGGGGAGGGACACCGGCTCAGAGAAGAGCTGCAGACAGACGGGGCAAGTGAGCTTCAACTCCAGAGCTTTAGAATCAGTCCTTTGAGAAGGATTGTCTTGGCTGTGCAACGCAGACATGATGACAGGGATCTGGAAGAACAGATGTTTGTGTTATTCTAGGTCATAGAACATAAAACTTTTTTAAAAACGTAAAAATTTTACACATTACACTGGATGTGAAAGTAAAGGTACAGTTGAAGATAAAGTGAGGGTCAAATTAGTACTTTTTTATATTTTTGAAAAAATATACATCATATGCAGTACTCTGTAAATAATTACATGTGTTACATGTGTAACTGATACTGTGTTATCGTATCCTCATCAGTTCCGGGTGTGTGTGTTCCCTTGTGCTGTTAAGTTTCGTTTTCAAACAAAGAGGAACTTATAATAATTTATAATACAAACACAACTGTCAAGTTTCAACAACTCTGCTCACAGCTCAGTGCTACGCAGCTTGTTGGTGTGTGATAATGATAATGTCATTTATTTTATAATTATCTAAGGCCAGTGGCGGCTTGGTAGTAACGGTTTCAGGTTCAAGTCCACTAGCTGTTAAGTTGCTACTGAGGTGCACCGAGCATGGCACCGTCCCCTCGAGCTGCCCCCCTCCCCACTCACTTTGGTGCTGTGTCACAATGACAAGTAATTGTCACCTTAACCTTTAACTAGCAGCTTACTGGGGTTCCCAGGAATATACAGTACATTTCAGCCGTGTATGTAGAATCTAGACAGGTAGAACTTGTTTATAGAGGAACACAAGAGACAAAAGTAACAACAAACGTCTCCGCAGACTTACCTGAGAGAACGGAGGAGTGTTGTGCCGTCTGCTATCTGTGAACTCTTCCTGTATACAGTCAGTGTGAGTCAATAAAACTCAGTCAGGCAGAGATCAGTGGTCAGACTTCACACCTTTGGTAAACAGACCAGCTCCACTGTTGCTAAGTGAGACTAAGCTGTTCTTTTATAACACTACTTCATTTAGACTTCATTCTGTTTGTATTTGAGTACGTCTGAAAAAACATCATTTTAAAAAATGGCATATTAACAAGAAATTACTTCAGGTTCTCTTTAAATTAAGTAAATTATTAATTATTTCTCTGCGTCCCAGTACCAAATGACCATGGACTGGTACAGGTCCACGGATCAGGAATTGAGAACCCCTAATCGAACTCATTTTACCATACCATTTACTTTTTTTTCCATTTTCCAATTGACATATTTTAATACTTTGTTGATTGTGATAACAACTAAAATGTTAACCTTTAACTGCTTTCAATCAGGAAAAAAAGCAAACAAACAGAGCGTGTGGTGCTTTTATTTACTTTGCATTTCTGAGCATCTGATATAGTAACAGATGAACTCCTAATCATTTCTGAGATTAAAAAAACATGAAACATATGAAAAACATACAAAACAATCAGTGTTGTAGTTTGACAAAGGCTCCAGGATAAAGTAAAAGACGACAGAGTGTGAATTCAAGAGTCAAACATGAGGTGCATAAACATAATCCATCCACAGTCAGTGGATCAAACCTTTGCTTTTGTGTAGTGAACAGATCCCTAAACACAGAGTAAAGTAAAGGTGCTGCTGCAGTATCTCAAAGGAAGACTAGAAATGTTAGAAGTGGATCTGCTCAGATTTGCTGGGATTTTAATCCTGGATTAAGAAAAAAATATATATAAATATTTCATTACACAGTTATAATTTCTATTTCACTCTCTCTACACACACAGCATTGGCTCAGTCATTATTTCTGTCACTCCTGAGACTAAATGTTCAACACATGTTGACAAACTCCTTTAAGACTATAAACCATTGACCTCACATACAGTACATTCACATCTAATATACGATTCTTTGGTAAAGGCACCAACACAACACGCTTAAACAAAAGCATCAGTCTCTGTTGTCCTGACGACAAGCTCAGACACACAACCTTAGAAAATCATCACTCAACAAAGTTGAAGTATTGTACTGTCACTATGTCATCAGACACTAAAGCTGTTGAAGTAGCAGCAGTTGTAGTAGTAGTTTTGTCTGTACCGTATTGTAATATTTATATTTTGGTCCTAGTTCTACTAGACTTGAGCTTCTATACTTAGCGTAGCGCAGTCGAGATACACTTACAATTAGCATCTTAAGCGTGTCTCTATCTCCAGTACCTTTGATAGGTTTCATCAGTTTTGAAACTCCTACAGACAGAGTGGATACAGAGAGTAACAGTCAACACAACGGTCTGCACTTGTTTCCTCTGACTCACCCTGTTGCTCTTTGAGACTGTAAACAGAGCTCAAAAGGTGCAGTGCTGTGCACACACAGTTACACTTTAGATTTAAATTAGGTTCAAAGTTTTCTTTTTTGTAATCTGGATTTACAGATTGAAATTGATTGTGTAAAAAAAATCCAGCTTTTTTATTTATTGATTAATTTGTTTTCTGTGCAAA